CCGTCATGATATGTTGAAATCCTTTTATACATGCGAGCTCTGTACAACGTAAAAATTGCAGAAGATAAACCTGTACATATTTGTTAAAAAAATAATCATGATTAGGATGATGATGATGATGATGATGATGATGATAATAATAATGACGATGATGGCATCAAAAGTAGTAAAAATGATAGCCACATTAGTCACACATTTGTGTTATCTGTTTAGAACTGTTAAGCCGAACCGAATAAATTTAACATTGAAATTTTGGAAAACTACATGGGGTATGGACTATGTTGCGTGTTAACTAGTAATCCCACATAATTCCCTTTTTTAATTAAACTACTAAAAAGCAGTATCCCTCCAGACAAGAAAACACTTAATAAATGATCACATCCAGACAAATTGATTATGGTTAAAAACTGGTTCTATATTCTATAATTTCACATAAGATACAATGATTACAGAATTATCAGAAACCTCTTCTGTCTATCTCAACAGTGACAGACAATTAAACTATCACTAGGCCCTTGGTAGTTACTATTAATAATCAAACATAGATAAATTCCAACAGCACATTAATGTAAAGGAGACTCAACTTAGTCACTATGGTATTAATGATTACCGCTGAATACAAGTCTCGAAATATCAGGAGTCTAGCTGTTCAGTACAACTTAAAACAGTACTAAAACAAGTCAGTTAAATATCATTCACACTGCATGAATAATAACAGTCAAGAAAATACTACTCAAATCTAAGCTAGACAGCGTTTAGATTTACTTACATAGGCACGAAATATTGTGGTTCAAGAAACCGCGAAACAAATCTCTACTTGTGTATGTGTACGGAATGCACAACACGAGAATACAACAATATATCGGTGGATCTAGACTATAGCAGATCTAGATCAGTAGACCAGGCATAGGCCTAGAACTAGTGCAATTATAAACATGTAAAATATGTGTTAGTAAGCGTACGCACTCAACAACAGGCACTCAGTCAGTCAAAATAAGGCATCACAATGATAAACAATGCAAAGCATAAATCACAATATAATTAACGTTACGTGAGTCATTGGAGTTGAATTCAAAGTAGATCTTCTTCAAGTTCTAGGTAGATGTAGAAACTAGCTAGTCGAAAACAGTGGTCGACGAGCTGGTTGTCGATCGCGTAGGATATGCAGACGATGATCGACGCTAGGTGAATACCACGATGATGAAGACGATGTTGAAGACAACGATGATGACAACAATGATGAAGACGACGCTGGTGAAGACAGCGATGATGAAGTCGACGATGAAGACGACGCTGGTGAAGACAGCGATGATGAAGACAACGGTGATGAAGACAACGATGATGAATCAGTTAACAGATGAATACAATGATGATGCAGTCAATGTCAATAGAGTAAAGTACCCGGTAATCGGTCAGCTCCGGTATTCGGCCAATTGGTTGGATACATGGTAAAATCACTTTAAAATACATCGCATAATAGCATAACACATATCCCACACATACCATACCATGCCAGTGTCACTGAAGAACCACATTTGCAATGAAAAATATATCCTAAAATATCACATTTTAGCGATGTAATCGGCGGTCCCGCTACCCAAATCTGAAAAATCGAGTTTCTTACGCGTGTATGTAAGAAATAGGGGTACCATAAAATGAGCTTTATTTCAAGTATTTTTCAGATATAGAGCCCGATTTTGTGCTGGTCGCAAGCTCAAAAGTATCTCATCGCATGTATTAAATCAATGCAGCCGCACACCGCGACGCACACACGATATGTCTGTCTAATTCAGATTCCAACTTCCGATCACCGCTGTGCCTGTATTCGGCCAGGCGAGCACCCGGGAGCTCCGGCGTGGGATACCTGCTCCGCCCGCTTGTGCTATACATCAGCGCAAAAACGCACGGCGCGCGCGAGCGCTTCCTATTGACTTTGTACATGCGGCCGTAAACTGAAACGCTCGGCCGATAACCGGCTCCAAAACAGTGAAAATTGAAATGAATATTGTCATGGCAATTCGTGATTTTTTTTTGGGATTCTTTTTTTGTTTAAGTAATAATAATATTTGCTTCATGATTTGAACAAGAAATGATAATAAATAGGAAGTAAAGAGTCCAATAAATAGGATTTTGTCTTAAGTGGCCGAAAACCGGGTACTTTACTCTAGATCAACTTCAGTGACTTGCGATGCAGGTCGAAGAATCAAATGTCGAGACAATATATATGAAGTCGATGATAAAAGGTTGTCAAACAATAATGCAGGTGAGAAAAACGTTAGATCATATTAAATGTTCTATTCTCACTGCTGGTGAATTAAAGTGTCGTCAATGCTGAACATCGAGAGTCAAAATATATCTTGCAAAACGTACAAAATGTAAATAGGTGAGCACGTCCACCGGGAATGGTCCGGGGACGTAGCAGTTCAATCCTCGTTGGATACAATTTTCTAGGTACAATCATCAACACAATAACAGCATGTCTGTATACCAATATTAAAACAGCTCACTGATTCCCGCACAGGAAAATCAGAAGAGCGCCAATCAACTACAGCGCGATTGGTTCAAAACAAGCGCACATGTATGTTAATAAGGCACGTGATCTAAATACTTATGAATAAATACGCGTACATCTATGTTAATTGGTCATGTGATCAAAATACTAATGAATAAACATCGTTATATAATAAATCGAGTTAAAACCAGTTCTGAGGACATGGCGTAATACCAAATCCTCGAACTCTCAATGACTTCTAAAGCGGCCATTTTGGATTAAAAACACAATATGTATACCAGTGAATTATAAATGAATGCACTGTAACATTTGTCGCTACAAATTGATAGCAATGAGATTAATAAGCAAATTAACTGAAAAATATTGTCACATGTTTATTTCTATTCTTAAGTTTCAGGGATTAATCAATAAGTGTAGATTTCAATAACTGTTTTAGCTCTTCTTTTGTGAATTCCGATGTTTTATATCTCACATATTATAATCAAACCGCAACATACATATATACAAATTATACACCATGGATTGCGTGCAATATCAAGGTAGCTAGCAGCATGTACGGGGAATCCCCCGGCCACTATGTCGCAATGCGTGCTTATCAGTTCCATGTATTGCAATTGCAGTGTAATAAAATCACTGGTTCCTGTGGTGATTTATTTTGTTTATTTTTTATGTTAGGTTTGTCATCCCTGAGTTGTGCTGACATTTGCCCTAATCAAATAAAGATTATCCATAGCCATAGAAAGAAAAAAAAAATCATATTTAAGATAATATTCTGTTGAAAATAAATTTGCACAGCGCATTGAAATATAAACGCAACACTCTATATAAATGCGAGATATTATCATGTTTAAAGTTGTTGTTGTTGTGGCACTATCTGTTCTGTTTTTAAAAACTGTGTAAAACGCACATACGGTAAACGTGAAAGTTGGAACGATGTGACACATTTGTAAGAACTTGTAAGGTACAGGGTGAAAGGGCACATTGTTACAGAAGCGTAAACAGAATAGACACCAGACTACAGACATTTTCTCACCGTCGAATTAGGCGCCCCTCCCCCCCCCCCCCCCATGCCGCCGGCTGGATCCGCTCCTGCTTCCCACACATTTTTTGGTTTACCAGCGTTCCCGAATAACGGTAGAATATCAAAACAACTGACGCACAGAACGCACTGAACAGAATTAATCATAATTAGCAATGGCCTAGTTTTCCAAAATAAACAATTATTAAGCAGAATGACATTCAGATTCCCACATAATTTGAAGTGATTGCTTAACTGTGTGCACTGTATTTACACACCGGTGCTTAATAGTATACCACATCTACACAGATCTTTTTGAAAAATGAATACTGAGTTTCAAGAAAAAAGGGTATAGCCGTATTATTATTAAAGGCACCTTGATTTTTGTGAAGCGCATAGATACATGCAATTATGTTCATGTGTTATGCACTAAACGTATACAAAAGCGTTTAAATATGATTATTATTGTAATCACTACAATGTATTATAAAAGTAACAAGGTTTGTCCATATATCGACAAAACAACAATGAGATTAAGAAATCCGTGTAATTAGTTTTAATGCTTTTTTTAACAGCACACTACTCATTATTTTCATTGTTCAGGATCTCCTTTTTAGAGATTTTTTAAAAACTATCTTTCGAACAAAAAAAAATTAATTGTGAAAAAATAATTGGATATGATCATTAAAGTATCTAAGTTGGCAAGTTCATAATCACTATCCTCGTGGAAAAATTGGCAAACTTTTGTTGAATTCAGTAATCTTTGTTCGACTAGGTTCATCTCATCTGCATTCTTATATTTGTGTTAGATTATGTAGGGCTAGAAAATAAGAACAATTGGTGTCAATCGCAAGAGGAAAAGTGATTTATTTAGAATTTTGTTATGAGAGGAAAACTCTGAACTACTTTGGGCTGATTAAAGAACTATGACTACGCAGATAATAGTGACAATAATAGAAATGATAATAATAACAATAATTGTTAAATCACTAATACGTTTCTCTTCGGCTCAAATCTAATAGGCCAGTAAGTTTACGATTAGCACATGTCCCAACTGACCCCGAATATCCACATAGCTTCAAAACATGAAGAGGTCCCACTTTGTACATTTTGAAATAATCACTCATACAGCGATGGAGGTGCTACATGAATAGCCCTTGTTTCCCTTTTCAAGGAATACTTCCACTATGTGTATCATGGAGTGCACTGCTCGTGCATAAATAATGATTCCATAACTTTCATGAGGACATATATATCCAATATTTTGTCTCCGTGTATTTCACAACTTGGTCTGCAATGAATATCTGCTCATGATCAGACTGCAACTATCAACTGGCTTATTAACATGGGTTACGAGCATTACTACACAAATTATACCACCCATTGACCGTGTGCAATCCCGATGTAGGCCGCATATATACGGGGAATACCCACTATTGTATGACTTTATCAAAATATATTAATACTCACTGGGGTTGGTATTTTCCTGCCAGAAATGTAATACCACTGCAGAACGAAATAAATAAACAGAAAATATGTTAACTATTGTTCTTTCACGTAATAGGCCTACATTTTGGTATTGGTCATATCAGTAGAATACTATTCCTCTAATACCAAACAGACTAGACTCAATTAATGTATCATATTCCAATATGACCAATAATCAATAGTGGAGGAATAATCCTTTAGCAATAACGATTAATCAATAGATGAAAATAATGGCAAAATTAGCAATGATAATGACAATAATGACTACAATACTTATGTTTACCGCGGGAATCCTCATCTTGCAACAAAACCGTTCTTCCTTAGGGCCCAGCAATTATTATGTGTCGGGTAGATTGGACTAGGCCGTTTGTAGATGAGAGGGGTTTATTTAACAGAAATTACCCCCGACATTACGTAAGTAAAGGAACATGTTTTCACAAAATGTCAAATAACGCGACCACCCGACCCGACGCGATGACTCGATGATTCAAAGTAAGCCATATCACGACACATCCACAGAACCTGATCTAGATCTACATGTAGATTCGTCAGTAACAAATACTTACCGCTTAGTGCAGCGATGACAATTAAAAGTATACAGTAACAGACAGCATGACAACATCCGCAACTCATTCCCCCCATCTTTAGGGCTCAATTTGATGCTTGTCGATGAAATACGTGTTGAAAACTACTACACATTCGAGAATTATGTCCTTTGTAACACAGGGCCATCAATACAATGGCAAATTACCTATTCTACTCCGCGCAGAATACAATAACATACGCATTGCACAATGACGTACCGGGGATTCCCCTCAAAGGCCATGCCCTCTGAAAACGACTCGCACGAGACAAGCACGCGAGTGGGTTCATTTATTCATTCATTCATTCCTTTCATTGCACAATGACGTGGATGGGATTCCCCGCCCCTCCCAAGACCAATCATTGAGTTATTAATGTAAATATGTATTGCTACTATGGAAATGAAAACCTCGCTTGAGGATAAGAGAAAAAGAAATCTTCCAAATTCTTCGACGATAAATTTTCCTAGTTGCACCAATTTATATTTTAAAAATTTGCAGTCCATTTGATAATAATTAAACTAAATACATTTGTTTAGAATATGAGAAATTATGGATCAAATATCACATTTCCTAATATTCAACAAACTCCCCGAAATTTGGTCACCCATCATACTAAAATAGCAATCAATTCAAGGTACACTCCCTAAGTTACAAACGCACTTATGCGCGCGCACACACACACATACACACACATGGACATAAACTTATAAGCAATATTCGATTTTTTTTTTTTTTTTTTTTTTTTTTTTTAAATCATTTTTGTTAAATAATTTTATTTTTTTTTTTTTTTTTAAAGGATGAAATATTATTTATAAAAACTACATTCTGACAAACAACCATATAACTATTTGTATTAATACAAGATGATCAAAAAATATATGAATACGACTGTATCTCTAATAGGAGCCTACATTTCGGTAAACCATTCTTAACAGACTCCACTACATATTACTGTACAAACACTGAGGTTTTCACAATAATTTATCACATGACCTGTCTTCAAACCCAGTTAACCTTGCATACTAGTTGACATAATACATTCATCTGTGTGTTTTTTAAATTATTTTTTAAAGATTAAGATTCATGTGGTAATATCAATAATGACTTAGGCTTCTATAGCGCTTTACAATAATAACACAACAAAGTTATAGATAACCACTAATTCATGAACTAAAAAAATATCCAAAAGAGAACAAGTTTAATCATTTTGATAGCACTTATTAACATCAATACAGAGAAATGAAAGCGAATTATTAAAAAGTACCCTTATATACAAGACGTGTAGTTTAAATTGTGATGAAATACAATGGTGCAGTTTAAATGACATTAGTAGGTATTTTCAAACAAGTAAGATTTCGAAAATAATATCGCTGGTGATATTCGTTTGTCTCGCAATGTATTGTCAACAAGCTAGGGATCTAAAAGATCACGACGTTTCGTGCGCCGCTGCAACACTTCGTCAGGTGATAAAATATAATGTAAGCAAGTGTGTTTTATACTCTACGGGCGGACCGTCGGTCAAATTATTCGTAGAGTATAAAATACGCTTGCTATTTTATCACCTGACGAAGTGTTGCAGCGGCGCACGAAACGTCGTGATCTTTTAGATCCCTTGTTGACCATACATTGCGAGACAAACGAATATCACTAGCGATATCATTTTCGATACTACGTCCGCAACGATTAATATATTTAGCATTAAGTAATTGACTTAACACACCGGACTTTTGCAGAAAAGGGGGGTGCTGAAAAAGGCTCGTATAACCAAAGGAAAAGGTCGACCCGTATTGACTTTACACACCAGATTTTTGCTGAAAAGAGGGGGGGGGGGGTCGCTGGGAACACGCATATGCGTACCCTAAATAATTCTGAGCTGGGGGGGGGGGTCATTATTAATGCACAAGACTATAAACTTCTTTTTACCGGTTGACCTTTGCCTTTGTGACATTTATCCGATAACAGCTGGAATTCACACGTTTATCTCTCTATGACCGTTGTCCCTTGACCTAATTACCATCAAATTGTATGATGATACTTACTACCAAGTTAAAAGTTAATAGCAAAAGTTATTCTTGGAATATCTTTTAATGAAGCAAAAACGTGTGATTTTATACAGTGACCAGCACAACAAATGATCTTGATGATCTTGTATGATGATACTGACTACCAAGTTAAAAGTTAATAGCACAAGTAATTCTTGGAATATCTTTTAATGAAGCTAAAACGTGTGATTTTATACAGTGACCAGCACAACAAATGATCTTTGATCCCTTAACTATAATTTACGAACTTAGTAATGACGCAGAGATGGTAGTATGGTATGGTAGTTTCAGTAGCATTCGAGGGTTCTTTTCTTAGATGATACATGTATAAACAAAATATGACAAATTTAGAAGCTGTAGCAACCCGTGTATAAGTCACAAAGCACTATCTGGAATTCGTCGAAAATATCTCAGTTCCATCTGTTGGATTCTTTTGTCCTATTGCTACGTACGTACTTCGTACTTTAACAAAAAAAGATGTTATATTGCCCTTTGCGACCGACCCCAAAATCTTGAAATCTACGGTCGGCTTTTTGAAAAAGGTTTAAGTTTTTTAGTGAAAAATATATCAAAGCATTCAAAACTGAGAAATATCAGACAAAAGAGGGGGGGGGAAGGATAAGATTTTTTTTTTTTATTCGACCGACCGACCCATTTTGGGGCATCTAAAGGGCAACACAACATCTTTTGTAATAGGCCTTATCATTTACAATAGCAAACACATTGCTTGGTGACGATGCTGTCCATAGGTTAGAGGAATGCGTAGACAAGGTGGATGTATATAGGTCCTTCGCACTATTCCTCCCTCATGGTGAGATAGTACCTGATAAAATGGTAGTAAAGAGAAAATGTAGAGAGAGCGACGTTTTGTTATCAAATTAAAATGAAGATAATGGTAACTGTATGGACTTGAATCATTTTATGTTCGTATGTTTTTGTAAATGACAGCTAGCCTACCAATTGTGATACCCTGGTGCTGCTGCGTCTACTGCTTCTACTTCTATACTCGGCCGACAATTCTTCTTCCATCACTTTCTATTTTTATCCCTTTTCCCTATTTGGGAGGCTATCGAAAAGAGCCTGGGGGCGTAGCCGATTCGACGTACCCCATGGATCCGCCGCTGTTCCATGACTACTACATGTACTACCACTTCTACTACTTCTACTAATAATAATAACAATGATGATATCTGCTGCTGATGGCTGGTCACCAATCTTAAAACCTGATTTATTGTTCACATTCTCCCCGTTTCTCTTTTATTATCTAATCGCTCTTAGATTTTTTTATTTTTTTATTTTTTTATTCGTAAATATTTGTGTCATTATTGTACCTTTTGGCTTTGGTTTAATTTACTTGAGTTTGGTACAGACTACTTATTATTAAGGTATTTTGATTGTGTGTAAACAAATAAAACTAAACAACAGGGAAAAAAGAGACCGGTTCATAGTTAGCATGTAGTACAAATGACCCCAAATATCCATAGATCTTTTACACGTGGAGAAGTCTCATGTTGAGCATTTAGAATAATCACTGCCAAAGTCACGGATGTGCATCGTGAATACCTTTTCTTTGCATAGATGTTACCGTCGGTGAATAAATATACAACGATCTCATAAATTATACGAGCACGCATCCAATATTCTTCTCGGTGGGTTCTACAATGCCTATGCGCAGATTGAATCTACGCACAAGCGTAATATATAAAACTCACCCCAAAATAAGCAATATTACTACGACGGTACATTTAGGCTTCGTGCAGAACGATGCTTCTGATATTGGAACACGTTTTGGCTCTGTCTTCTGAGGTTCGGTGATCAATGGTTCTGTGGTCACTACTTCTGATAGAAATGATAATGATAAACAAAATCACATAGATCTAGAAAAAGGAATGATCACGGAAATTGCTTTCTATACATTATTCCAGGGTTTGTGTTTTACGAACAACACACGACCAGACAACATTATGTTAACTATTTTATAACCCCTGACATCAACCGAGCCCCTAGTTTCCGCAAGTAAGGACCAGGGACCCGTTCCACAAAGGCTTTTATCAATGACAAATGACAAAAATCAGTGACAAATCTGCTGATAACCAATGAAAAGCCAGGATTTCAGTAGCTTGTAACAGAACATGTAATTTCTCACTGATGACAAGTTTTGTGAAACGGGGCCCCGGTGTCTATTCTTTAAAGGCATTTTAGCCCTCAACTGCACTCCCTACCCAATTTCGACGAAATTGTATGGGTAGAAGATATCTAAAACAATCAACAAATTCCTTACATAAAAAGGCGATAAGATGCATATTCTGTTGCGTATAATTAATGCGATTTGTCGCATATTTCATCACGAGTTTCACAACAAAACTTTATGATTCGGGATGCCCCTAGCTTACGGGCCCCCATATGGTTCCCTACTGCTCCTCAACTGTGTATCAGTGGGTATATAACGTATCCGTTGAAGTGAACTTTTTCAGTTACTTGATTTGATTTGATTTGATTTATCTTTTTCTGTTTGATTTTCTTGCTCTTTTACAAATATACAATTAACAAATCATTACAAATTGTATACATGACAAAGGGTATTTGTAGAATAAAGTAAAGCTGGCTGTAACTAATCAACAACATGAAACAGCAGGGTTGACAAATTAAGCAAAGCTTGATAGCATGATCCCCTCTATGGATACATAATAATACACATATGGAGGAAAACATACTGGTAAAAGGGAATAAGAGAGAGAGAAAAGAAAGAGGGATGTACATTAAAATTCATAGATGTATGTGGTAGTTGGATTTCAATTTGAACCAAATTACAAATAGTAGACTCACCAATGGAGGGCGTTGTTAGATAAAGTATCGGTCCCTCGCCAAGTTTAGATGCCCGTGCCCCATCGCAAAGGATAGGTCTCACTGATACCTGGTAGTCCGTTTCGGGTTCCAGGCCAGTTATGTTGAATACAAGCTCTTCCTTGGACAGTGATCCTGATTGCTCAGACACAAAACCAACCGACAACCACGATGGGACATCTTCGCCGAGGCTCCTCCTATCAATTGCATAGGCACATATGGGCCCATCGCCGGTATGTTGCTCCTGCCACTGGACGACTGCGTAGGACGTTCCGATAGATTTCACGTTAGGCGGATGGGACAATCTAGGTAGAACTGACGGTACATAAAATTGAAATTGAAATGAAGTATTTAAAGTCCATTCGGAATTCGTTTTTTCTGTATGTATGTATACCTCTTCCTCCGCTTCCCACCTCCAATTCTTTCTTCTTTTTTTGGGGGGGGGGGGGGCAGTTGCTTTGGAACGTAATATTTTGTTATAGTTGGATAATAGTTAACAGAGTAAGCAAGCAGTAAAAAAAGTAAATAGGAAATAAGAAACGTCTTAATAATTAAGTAAATACCCTGGACCTCTTAAATCTCATCAAATTCGTAGACATTTATACTAAAATGTACCTGCGTGCCTGCATGGCACTCTCTTATTAATAGGACTATCTGGTTTTAACACAATGGCAACTAATTGTGAACATTCAAGGTCAACTTCGATTTACTCTTCTATCATTTGGATCTAATACGTAATGCACCCCTGCGATGTTCGCACATTTCAAAAGGTGACACGCAGGTCTACGGAAATTGCTTTACGTTGATTTTTCGAAAATAGTCGCAATAATTTTTGTTTAACATTTTACGCTGAACGTACCGACTACAGGAATTGTCACAGGCTTGGTGGTGAACTGCAGTATTGGTTCCCGTGGACTTTCCCGAGCAGATATGCAGTTGATTGGAGAAACTGCGACTTGGTACGTGGTATTCGCCTCTAGATGACCAACATCATACAGTAGCTCACTCTCCACCGACACGTACCCGACGCTGCGCCATGGATCGCTGTCATCATCATCACGGTCTTTGTCGTCGTTTTTCTTGATGTTGATTCCGTAACCACAGATTGGCCCGTCTCCCTGATGTTGATTTGTCCACCGGATGGACACGTGTGTAGAGGACAGGTTTGTACTTTGAGGAGCTTCCATCAAGGTGGGCAGAACTATCAAAATAAACGATAAACAACTTGGTAAAATTGAAACTTTGAAACATGCCTGAGTATTGGTTATATGCTTTTCAAATCCAATGTCGCTCCGATAGAAGTTGCTTGTATAGTGACCTATCGTAATGCATTTAACAATAAATTCCACTATTACTCATGATAATACCGATAATAATATTTCTGAAATTGATAATAACGATTATGATAATAATGATTATGATAATGATTCTATGACTGGAATTGATTGGACTAAAGTTACATGCCTAAAAATCAGATGTGCTACGATCGAAGGACTTGAACCAAATCTACAAATAGTTGTAAAACTCACCAATTGAGAGCGTTGTAAGAGAAAGGGTCGGCCCCTCGCCAAGTTCAGATACCCTTGCGCCATCGCAAAGGATAGGTCTCACTGAGACCTGATAGCCTGTATCGGATTCCAGGCCAGTCATGTTGAATACAAGCTCTTCTCTGGACTGGGATCCTGATTGCTCAGAAACAAAGACAGCCGTTAGCCACGATGGGTTATTTTTATCGAGTCTCCTCCTATCGATTGCATAGGCACATATGGGCCCATCGCCGGAATGTTGTTCATACCATCGGACAACTGCGTAGGACGTTCCAATGGCTGTCGCCTTAGGCGGATAGGACAGTCTAGGTAGAACCTTCGGTAGAGCTTACATAAAATAGAAATTGAAATGAAGTATTTATTAGGAATTCAGAATTCTTTTTCATGCATGTGTGTGAATATACATATACGGTGCGTCCCAGAAAAAACGGAACCGAGAATTATCGATGTTTTATGATAACTTAATCAAAATTTCAATTATTAATTGACATAGCTTAGCAATTTTTTTAGCTTAGATCCTCCTCTTTCATCTGATGCAACTCATATGATGCATTTTTCACGCATGAGTGATTTAAAAGAATTTGAAAAGAGGAAACCAAAAAGTCATTTGGCGGGTGGTATCTGAATTTCAAAGAGAAAATCACATTTCTAGAAAGTTCATTTTTTACCCTTTCATATGACCGTAATCTTTTCGTGGAATGGACATTACGTTTAATACCTTTATCAAAATATATTAATACTTACTTGGGTTGCTTTTTTCCCGGCAGGAATATAAGAGCACTGCAAAACGAAATATAAAGAGGAAATATATGTTGCTCTCTCACATGAACTGAATATTTCTTCAAATATCATCAGAACCATGGTAAGGCTATTTAATGTGCCAAAAAAAAATGAAAATGTGTATTCAATCTAAATACATGTCTTACCCTAGTTTTACTTTAATATTTATGATAACATTATTATAAGCTTTATGAAATTAAGTATATTTATCGGTACGTGATGACAGCCAGAGATTTACCCCCCAAAATTAATTTTCTCCTTCTTAGAATCAATGAACGAAAAACGAAATTGAACATTCATAGATTTTGTTTTGTATGCAGGTGATATTATTATCATTTTGTCTCATAAAAATGATACAAAATTGATAGATATAGCTAATAATGACATTAAAAAAAGGTTTCTAATTGTCTGAAGGCTAAAAGGTTACAAATTGACATGAATAAAAACAAAATATATGATATTTCATTCAGCCAAAATACCTAAAACTGTCAACAACAACAACAAAAAAAGGATTTAGAATAGACAATATATATTAAAATTGCAATCGTTCATAGCATAGGCTTATTTAGGATCATAATCTAAATTGGACAGAGCATGTTAACAATATTCATGGAGAAATAAATATGAATATAGGCATTACTATGTGTAAGCTCCGTTCAGTTATACCTTGCAAATATCTATTTTGTATATAACGTCTTTATCTTGCCATAACTTTTAAAATCTCAATTAGTGAAGTCTTGTTTGGTCAGGGACCAGTGCAAATAATTTGAAACGTTTATACATGTATACAGAACAAAATAAAGCTGTTCGACTTTGCACCAATACCCACTATATCTTGCCCACACCACGGCACTGTTTATTAGCTTAACACTTTTGGGTTATTCTGAATTAAAATTGATACTTCTTATGTTCAAACACGTCAACACATCACTACCTGCCATTTTAGACAATTTCTTTTAAAATAGCATGTTAAAACAGTCCACAGGGTGGGGTAGTGAGCACTAAATGAAAGGAAAAAAAGGTGTGGAATGGATCAGAAAAAGTTGATCGTGTAGCATGTAAGTATTGGTGTGTACCGCAAGGTTCTGGAGTAATCAAAATCATAATAAATTTGGCCAAGTCTTGGTAAAGTAAGAAGCACTGTACACAGAAAGATGTATATCTGACTTACCTTGATTTCCTTATCTTTCTATGCTCTTTACTCAGCCAGTATACATTTTCTACCAAAATTGTTTGGCAAGTGACATTAATTTGTAATCTTGAACATTAAGTGCAAGTTTTGTTTGATTCTGTGAGAATTCATTTTCTTTCTTTACCAGAACTCAAGTTTATCTTTAAACCATGGTAAAAAGTGGCAAATGTAGATTGATGCCTGTCTTGACAAAGGACGTTTATGTTGGGCTTAGATAAGAAACCCTCAACCCTTGTAAAGAGAGGGAGAGAGAGAGAGAGAGAGTCATCAATTGAATGAACCATTATAATCACGACACTGATCAGCCTACACTGTTGCCCTCAAAGTTGGAATAATTTTTCCTGTTTTTGTCGATGAAATGATTGTGACGATATGCATTATTCTTGATAGATACATTTACATAGTTTCAGAACGTTAATGATTAGTCTAAGGAAAAGTCAGAGCGATTGATTAATAAAGTTCTGAGAAGATAAACACTCGACCTATCAAGAATAAACAATATTGTGACAATCATTTCGTGTAAAGAGGTTATGAAAAATCATTCCAACATTATGGGTGACAGTTTACATGTTGATTAGTTATTCACAAATACTTACCGCTTAGTACAGCGATGACAGTATAAAGTGTACCATAACGGATAGCGTGCCAAAACACACACTTCATTTGCCACATATTGAGAGCTCAAAGTTAGGCTTATCGATGAAATATGAGTTGTAATCTATTACACAGTCAAGAATGATATCCGTTAAAACGTAGCAACAGAAGAAGGCATCAGACTCAACACAGAGCGGTCAATACAATGGCGAATTAACCACAATTCGACTCCGCTCAGATTAAATGCATTGCTCAATGGGGATTCCCCCAAATGACAATGCCTTTGGGAATCCCCAGCCTGCAATATTCAACTCAACTCCGCGCAGCTAGATTACAATGCACTGCACAATGACGTACAGGGGATTCCCCTCAAAGGCGATGCCCTTCAACACAAAACGACTCGCACGAGACAAACAGGCGAGCGGGGCCATTTATTCATTCATTCCTTTCATTTATCACCAAATTTCAAATACATTGTACTTTTTGGCATGAATGTAACCAAGAACTTACTAGCCATGTACATGTATAAACAAGTGGCAAATGGAGCCAACACACGCTAATCTAGGTTCTAGCCCAGTACAATGAATCAATCATTAATAATAATTATTGGGTCGCAAAGAAGCCTTTACGATTCCCACTGGTCAAGTTTGAAACAGTTTTATTATTTTGACATATTTACACAAAATAATTATAACTCAAATATATAGCACAAGATAATTGAAATATGTTACAATAATTCGATTTTATTATACAATACATGTAGTACGTGCAGTTTACCTTTCAAGTGACTTGGTAACATTGTTGAAGGTTGATGAAAAAAATTGCTTAATTTTTGTATAAAATGTTACTTACTATATTCCTTCTACTGTACTAACCCTCTGACATGCAGGAAATCCTGAACAAATTTCTCAAACCACGAAGATATCTATGGTTTTCTTTGAAGGAGGCGATGTATGACACCCTCTAACAGTGACAAACAGTAAATTCTTCCAACCATTTTTGAATTTTCCCAACCGTTTTTCCATCAAAAAAAGACATAAAACAGGCTATTAAAAAATCTGATACACTTTAATGTCTGGAATGGAATGTAGAGCCATTTTATTGTTTTCTTACGATTTCCATTCACCTAAAATGTAATTAAATTGTAATAATATAGTTGGGAGAATTAAGGAATCGATCAGATTAGTTTTTCTCAATTTGTACCTTGAATAATGGTCCGTTTCCACTCAAATTTTCAGATTATCATTAATTGTACATCTAGTATTGAAGTCACTACCTTAGAACCAATATCTCTCATCTGAACAATGTTACCAAGTCCCTTTAATACATGAATGGTTAAATGTAAATATAATTATATTACTTCAAACAGATCTCTTTTAAATGTTAAGCTAAAGCTTTTTTCGTTGTTAACACTGTCTATGTTCATTAGACTGAGCATTCCAAATATATGCACAGATTGTTTTCCTGTGCTTGTTATTATTTTTAAAAGATTAATGTAATGATTTTCATAGGTTTTCTTTTTCATTACGATGACTTAGTTAAAGTTAAAATATATATAAAACTAGGAGTGGGTATGTTATTTAAAGACCGTCACCACTACTGGGCCAGAAGGGATTAGACCACACAGAGAGCCATCGAGGTCACTGTGACAGGTGGCTATCTCATTAACTCAGCTCTCATTTAACATAAGAAAAAGAGGATCATGGGGGACCAACAGGCACCGATTGGGGAAGTTTTCTATATAGAGGGAGCCAGTAGCTACAAGTATGGCAGTGTGCCTTTAACAGATAAAGGAAAAGGTTTACAACCAAAAGACGATTCTCAGTTAACCCGTTGACAACTGAATGTATTAATTGCCATGTGCTTAATACAGGGCCCCTCATGTTTCAGGAGGCAATGGGGTATCACGTGTAGTATTTTTATGTAGCATAACATATGGTATATGTTCTCCAATTTGTTATTGGCGATATTCTTTTACTTGTTCATATGTCCTCCCCCCCCCCCTCCCCCTCCCCCCTCCCCCCCCCCGTTAACAAATATATATTCCATTATTTCAAAATCGACACTGCGAGTAATCGTGTGCACAAATCAAACATGAGTTTTCCTTGTAGTTTGTGATATCCGTTACGCGTACGTGTGACATCGCATATAAATAATGCCAGTCGGAGATTCCCCATCTAATTACATGTATTGATCTCGATTTTAAAACATTAATAACTTTCTCATTTATTCTATTTCCGATCTTTCTAATACTTACACCTATCTCCAATAAAAAATGTTCTACTTCCTCTCAAGACAACTTTATACATGTATAAAGGATTCAGTCCTTATCTAATGCAAGGCTACATGTATCTCGCGAGTCATCTCTCGATTGCAATAACTTCTCACTTTTCTCATCTACTAGACGCTCTTGCTTAAATATTCCTCGTTACTTTCTTCAACTTGAGCTCCTACATGATTTCTCCACATTTCCATATATTCCAGTTTATACACTGCATTTCTTTTTCTACTACAGGTAGATGCATATACCCCCCCCCCCCCACTCAGTGTTATTTAGGGTACGCATATGCGTGTTCCAAGCGACCCCCCCCCCCCCCCCCCCTTTCAGCAAAAGTAAGTCCGGTGTGTAAAGTCAATACGGGACGACCTTTTTCTTTTGTTATACGAACCTTTTTCAGCACCTCCCCCCCCCCCTTTCAGCAAAAGTCCGGTGTGCAAAGTCAATACGGGTCGACCTTTTTCTTTTGTTACGAAAAGGACATTTTGGTAACACGCATGGGGTCCGTCCGTTCTCGGAGTGGGGGGCCGGGTGCATATATCACTCAAAATCACTTATATTAATCACATTTAGGACACAGCCAATAACATTGACGAGAATTGCTTCAATCTTTATTTTACTCTTATCATTAATATATAGTTTTACAATGGCTATGGGGATGATAATCTAGGTAATATGTTCATATGTTTGTTAAAATTGTGATAACATGGTGTATCATGTTGGTTTAAAAAAAGTAGGCTATATTTTGAATGTATTAATTAAGTTCATGCCTTTACAAACCAAGGCAGAAATCAATAATTTATATTTGATGCAGAATAATATTAATATTTGAAGATAAGAAACAAAACAGGTTTCATAATCATTCAAGTGTTCTAAGCAAACATTAGCAAATTTTTGTCCTTGATGTAATAATGCTCTCCGATCCAGTCTAGACTCTTTGCGAGTGGTTTCATTCGAATTAATCGAGAAATTCCCTTAGTAAGCGTTTTAAGAAATACGCAATAACAGCCATTATTTCGCGGGGGATTCCACCCAAGGGGTGGGGGCGAATGGAGGGGGGGGGGCTAATTGCCTTGCTAGGAGGACGAAATTTGAATTATCATGGCCGAGAGAAGGTCCTTTGAATGCTCACTTTACCTTCTTTTCCCTATTCGAGGAGGGTGTAGTTAACCTCTCCTTTCTCCCGTAGCTATGCATTTGATTGTAAAACAAGTGGTACGATATGGAATAGGTAAAAGAATACAATATAATCATTACATTAAAAATATATATATTTAGACTCAGCTGTGTACGTCACACGCGTGATTTCGATTAAAGGGAAGGTGTTTCTTTGAAGAGTTTTTAATCTAATGGACGCTGCTCGACCTTCATATATTCATAAGCGTGAGCAGGTGCTAGCTGTCAAAACGATTGTTATCATGATTTATAAGTGCCTTTCAACAACTTTGTTTTCAATTAGAGCTTGTACATTAATTGCCGTGCCCAACTTCTTTTTTGTTAGCAGCTGTTTCTGATTTCATTGAAAAATCAAATACATAATATTCAACCAACAATAATAATATGTAATATAATTGATATGTACAATTTTTGTTTAATGTGACAACTGACGTACAAAAGAGTACGTGGATATTATTGAACACTTGAAAGTATGGAGGGAAATTAAAGAATCTAGATAAATTTAGAGGCCAACTATCATAAGCATGAATGCCTGAGTCAACATATTGACCTCTATTACGCGACTAGTCTTCAAACAAAGAGAGTACAGTCTCTCTGACTCCATAAGCTTTTAATTTACAAAATTGATATACGATGATCTATTGTATCGATCGAATGTCTTCTGTGACCACACCCGTATTCCCACATAGAGCACTTTCATAGAAGAAGAAAAGGGATGAACACAAAGAGAATGAATCAAGCTTATGTTTGCCAGAAAAGAACACTATGTGCTATTACAAACACTCATCCCGGAACTCCCTCTGAACCGCTTAGGGAATTCGATGTACTTACCGTATTTCAAATATTTGTATTGCAAGTTGGATCATTCCTGTATTATGTACAATAATAGTATGTTACCTTCCATGTTTGATGATATGTTCAAAATAACATAGGATGTTCATCCACATTAAACAAGACATGCTAATGATTTATATATTCCATTGCTAAAATACCATACTGCCTTCACGTACATCATTAAAATATTCTGGAGTGATTACTTGGAATGCAATATCCACCGAAATAAAAATATGCCCATCTCTTGCAGCGGCATTCAAACGAAAATATAAACGTCATTAATAAAATATAATCAATGTCTGTTTTTCTGCTAAGCACCCTATCCCTTGGGGCACTACTTAATACGTATTGTGGATAGCAAAGGAAATACATTTGAGTAAACTTGTGTGCTGGAACGAATGGGTCAGTTGTACATCACTTCATCAAGGTGACATTACAGATGCGTCAAATGTCGGATCCCCTAAGGAATAGTGATTACGAAATTATATAAAATACATAATTTCCTCTTTGTTTGTCCAATTTGTTCAAAATTTCGAAACATACTTGTTTTGATCTTGTCTGGCCTCCTTCAGGGGAGTGTTTCACAAAGACTAAGTTAGCCTTAGGCCTACCGGTAACTGTGGCAGGCCGTCCAGTCCACTGTTTGCTCTCACTGTTTACTGGCATTGGTCTCTCAAGGGACGTACAAATCATGGTCACAAATCTACAGAATTTAATTTTTGTTGATAATTCATTATTGAAGAAAACAATATTATCTAAAGATCATAATAGTAAGAGAGAACAGTGGCATGAACTGCCTGTCATAGTTAAAGCTAAAGACCAGATATGGTCATGCAATTGCATAGTGAAAGAAACGTTGTGAAATCGATCAGAAAAGGTTGATCATCTAGCATAGATGTACTGCAAGGTTCTGGAATCATCAAAATTATAAGAAA